CATCCAAGAAAACCTCAACGACATCTTCAACCTGCACTGCTCACCCGAGGTGGAGCTTGCTCATGCAAACCTTACTCTAGATATTTGTCGTAACTGGACATTGAAAGCCCGTTGCTAAACAACTTCTCCGTTTACATTGTGTTTAGTGCCGAGTTATGTGCAGGGTAATTGCTGATTATGACGCGGGGCAATGGAGGCCGCAAGGAATCTGTCTTGCCGATGCTGCTTTATTTTCGCACAATAGTCAGCTGTTTGTGATGCTATGTTGCTGATGAGCTGTAGGCGCCTTGACCCTGTGTCTTTGTTAGGGCATTAAAGTTCCGCGCCAGGTCCCGTTTCTTTCCCGCTTATTGTTCTTCGTTCCGTAGATCACAGTGGTTGTACAGCAGCGAAGCATCATTACCAATAGCATGTACTGCTGTTAGTGATGATGATGATGACGACGACGACCCTTCCAACTTGTCATATGCGTATGCTTCCGAAGTTGCATCGGAATTAGTATTTCTTTACTTTGCATACACACATTTAGTTGTTATAGGATTCTGGCATTCTCGGATTCTGGTAAGGTCACCCCATAGTAACAGGTAATCAAAGAAAAACCATAGGCAGGCTTTGAACGTATACTCATCAGCACGCATCAAATGCTAAATTTCAATATGGTTTCTCTTCCATTGTCGAGCCTTGTCGGAACACTGCAAAGCACATGCTAAGGTGCGGCGTGAACATCAATTCAATATCATTTAGTGCGATGAATGCACTTCAGCTATGTCTTACATTGGCTGTTGGACGAACAATTCAGGCTCTTGGCTTGTAATGCACCAGTCCCAGCTTCTGCCTTGAGTTAGTTCAGGCAACACCGCCGTATACATACCTGCAAACAACTGCCGGTTTTCGCTTGCCAGCAAAGTGTCGATCCGAGATATCAGTGTACTGCTAATCTTTTCTCACTTTACGCAACATTAACTGTATGACGAGGTCTGCGGTTCAGTTCACTTCAGTTGATCAACTATAATCCGAGCACCGAAGTGTGGTGGATCCAGTTGCCACGACGCAGTCACAAGAATCACAATAAATAACAACGGCAGGATAGTGGGGTTACGTACAAATAACATGCAAAGAAAATGGAAGCAAGAAAGAAGTGCGTTAACCTAATCAGAACTAAAATTAGCAAGCAGATGCAATAAACCAAATGCAAGGACGCCGCAGACTGCGTAACTGCTCCATGTCAGACACGGTCTCTAACCATTCATGTGAACCGTCCCGAGGCCTCCATACACGAAGACGGCACGCAGCAGCCTGACCAAGTTTCTCAGTCAATTTCTTCATGCCGCTATGCCACATCATGGACTGGCTGCCTCGCGGTTTCACCCTACTTGGTGCAGCCACGGCGTATAATGCACGCCGAGGAAGCCGGTCACCTAGCATACGGAGGACATGGTCTAGCCAACGTAAGCTTTTATATTCAGCAAACATTTGTGAGAGGCACCAGAAAGCTTCTTAACAACAACCAACTGGCGGACCTCAGCATTGTTCACCCGGTGTTTCCACCAGACGTGAGAAATACTCCGCAAGCACCGGAGGTCAAACACGGCGTTTAATGTCTTCGCCGCGAATTAGTCAGATCTCTGATCCATATAGTAAGACCAGCCTTACCACCACGTTATACACCTTATCTCCCACTGACTGATATCCCGCCGTCTCCATAGATTGTCGAGTGTCTGGACTGCCAAACGCTCCTTGCTGATCCGCGAAGTAACTTCCTCAGTGATGTGACCACCAGAGATGACATAGCTACCAAGGTCACTGGACCGATCCACCACTTCCATTGGGTGTTCGGTGACAACTAGAACCGGAGGTGGGTCGGTTCAGTTATGAAGTAGTATTTTTCCCTTTGAAGGTGCAAAGAACATGCCGAAGCTTGCGGTGCTACGCGATAGTCTATCCAGCAGTGTTTGCATAGCCACGGCGTCGGATCCAAAAAGAGCTATGTCGTCCGCATACTCCAGGTTTGTCAGTCGGTCACCTGGTAGAACCTCCACTCCGGTAGAGTCTGAAAGAACGGAGTCACTCATGACCATTTCTACAACAAAGTTGAAGAGGAAAGGGGATATAGGACAACTCTGGTGAACCCCACTTGTCGTGGAGAACTTAGGAGACAGTTTCCCATAGACCTTTACACTGCCTCAGGAGCCACGATAGAGCGACTTAAGAATGGGAAGGAATTTAGCCGACGCGCCCTTCATAGCTAGACAGTGCCACAAGCCGGCGCGGTCAACAGAATTGAAGACAGCTTTCAAGTCAAGGAAAACCACCATTGCCCGTCGTCTGTCTGTGTGCTCTACTCCAACACTTGGCGAAGCGTAACTATGTGGTCGATACAACCACGACCATGGCGGGATCCAGCCTGGCCTCCAGTGACTCGTTCCTCACGGGGACCAGTAAGTCCTCGAAGAATGATACCCGTCAGAAGCTTTAAAGCAATGGAACTAAGGCTAATACCTCGATGATTTTTGCGCAAAGTACGCTGATCCTTCTTGTAGATGGACACGATAGTCGCCAATCTGAAGGAACCTTTTCACTGTTCCAAATCGTGTTAAATAGAGTAGCGAGTCTGGTCAACAAGTGGTCACCACTATTTTTCAGCAGACATGGTGAAAGGTCGTCGGGTCTTGGAGCCTTGTTTCGTTTCAACACGGAAAGCTTATATCGAATCTCTTCCAAAGTGGGAGGTGTCACATATGCCTCTTACGATGGCTCAATCGGTTCGGCATGCGGAAATGTCGTAGCAGGCCTGCTGAACTGCTCTTGAAAATGTTCCGCCCAGCGGGCTAGCCGATGACGCTTGGAATGGACCAGCTGTCCGCTTTTCTCAGCTATTGTCTCGCTAACGGATGACTTTCTCGCCGTCTGTAACTGATGGTAATATGGCCAATCTGGGTCCAAGTCATGCAGGGATTCGGTGGGCTTCAGGTGACGCGGTGTGAACGTTTGTGCTGGAAACATTGCTGCTGAGGTAAAGGTTGTGGTTGGCGCACAGTTGCAGGAATCGGTCACCAATGTCTGTTCGGCGTGCATCGACTCTGGAGCGCTTTCCAAAGTCTGAAAGACGATCTGCTTAGGTATTCATGTCACCAGCTACAATCAACCTGTCGGTATTCTTCGCCATGTGAAGAAGAGATGAAAGCTGTCGATAGAAATCGTCTTTATTACCCTCTGAATTGCATTCAGTAGCGACATAAATTAAGGCGATGAAAAGGCACTTTGACTTTAGATGCTGTTTATTGACTCCAGTAGTACTAAGTCGAGCCGCACACATGCGATTGATCACCGGTATCCACTCGAACCGATTGCCTCCAACATGTTCGCTGAAGGCAATGCCAATGACGCAAGTACCTTGAGCAGTTGACTCAGTATTGCCGGAGACGCGAAGAGTGTAGTCATGGTTGTCAGATTCAGAACCACTTAGTCGAAGATTGGTCACAACGCTGTTATGTTGTGTGTTTCGGAGCCTCAGCACAAATCGATACCAAGAGGGTGAAGAGTGAGAGTCAGTGCTGCCTGCTGGCTTGTCTGACCTAGAGTGCTGACTTTAAAGGAACCATTGGGAAGTGAAACTAGGTTTGATTGAAGAGCTGCTGTTGATGGTAGCGGCTTCCGGGTCAGTGGCAGTCTCTTGCTCAATAAACGGAGATGTGGGTAGGGGGGCGGGGAGGGAAAAACAAGAAGGTGGGTATTGTCTACGTGGTTGAGAGAGCAAATGATACTCTCCGGCTGCCCATTCTGAGAGGTTTTTTGTTCGAGGTGCCCTGTCTCTAGCCTTTGACTCAACGGTCTGACCCACAAGGCAGTGGAAGATATGAAGGTTCTCTTGAGGGACTGCACCCGGAGCCTTTGCTTCAATAGCCTGACCCATAAAGCATTGGGGAGCAAGTGCAGGTCGGGATTGTGATTGCAGTGACCCATTGAAATCTGCTTGAGGCCAGTCACACACATCCTTTGTAGATTTATTACAATACACATGTTTTACGACCGTATGACCTTACGTATCTACGACCACGGCCAGCCGCAGGTGGGTATTGGTGGGTTTGCACCAGTTTGACCATGGACTGCCTGTCTTGAGGCAGACAGTAGTAAACCATTGAGCACCGAAAGGTGCCCTCCACGCATCAGAGACAATTCGTTGCGCTTGTGTTCTACGCTAATCAAGTTGTGAACCTATAATCCGTAGACCTGTTGTCTCCCATGGCTAGGTTTTACGGGAAATGGGCCATCGGCCTTTCCCTCACCTTCGAAGAGGATTGGACTTTGAGACTGAGTCAATCTGACACGTATCCATTGACCTGTCTGGTATGAGTGGTTCTGAAGGCATTTGGAAAGTGCCACCCAGGATAGCTCCGTGGGTCACGGGGGTACGCAAACCATCGCATCACGCTAAGGTCCAGTCTCGTTGCGACGGACGATCTCTGGTAACAGCAAGGGATAATCGTACGGTCCTGACAAATGCAGCTTGTTGTCGGGAAGATACCTTGCAACTCTCGACACATCCTGACACTTGTTGATGGGCATATTTCGCACCAAGTGCATTAAACGGAAGGGGAGCGACCGATTAAGTGGAATGTGCCTTCGAAATCGCAAAACCCTGCTTTAGTTTGTCGTCATCAGTACGTTTGGTGGTCTACCGGTTTCTTACAGCTGCTTGTTAGCATTATATCCTATTTCATTTTACCCGATTTTATTGCCAATCCTCCATCTACTTTCGTTCTACCTCACTTTCCTCATCGATTTCATTATTTTCATCCTGACAATGCGAATTGTGAGATTTCGATTCCCCACAGTTGTTTAATTTACCATTACTTCAGCCGGAACTGTGGCTGTATTCTCCTTACACTAAGTTCCCTTGCCACCAAAAAGTGGTGCACAAGAATTGAGTCAATTACTTGAGGACTACCTTTTGTTAGCCGATATTTCCGTGGTTATCCCAAGTGCTGGGACTGTCCCTCCTAACTTTCGCATTTATGCTGGCTTTGTTACTCTTGCATGATGCTGTCTTTTCTTTCCATGTCTATTAGAGGCAGTTGTTCACACCGAGCATCAGGAGCGCATCTGGATCGGCGGAGCAGACATATAAGCAAATATATAAACGGCATCTTTCCCGCTACTGCGAGGCACAGTCCAACTAAGTGGTCTGATCACTTTGTACAGCGGAATCGCAGGGTGCAGATGAATATTATTCGAGTTTTTCTGAACAGTTCTCAATCCCTTTTGGGGGCGGGCCAATTGATCGGTTGAGTCTTTCAGGGCGATTGAGAAGTTGACATTAATACTAAATGCAAATATATCTAAATGTTCAACTGAAGTAACACGGCCATCATTGGAAACGTTTTCTGGGGACCTGCTTCCATGCGAGTTATTCCCTCGATGGGTTTCATCCGCACATCTATGCTTCATGTGACCGTGTGCCGGTGTGGCTTTTAAGCAGGTAGACCATCACCTATGTTAATCATATTTAGGGCCCTTTTTATGTGTATATATGTGAACACCCAAGCCGTCTTGCGCGTATCGTTTTTTGAACTGAGCACTTTTATTACTCGCCAGTGAGTTTATGGCAATATGCCTTGCATGGGTTCACTTATTGGCTTAGAAGCTTCAATCCGTCACATCAGGGGATCGATCCAATTGTGACCAACAATGCAGCGAAGAAAGATATAAACTAGGAAGTGGATAGGTTATAACTTTAATGAAAATAACTACGGAAATGACAAACGCAAACGGAAATGACAACGCAACAAGGGTCGCCGGATTTTCCGATCAAATTGTATACCGGATCACCGAAGTGATGACTGCTCGAATCATCCATTGCATGGCAGTTTAAAAGGATTTTCCAGGTTAATCCACCAGTCACATGTTCACGAATAATGCACAATTTTAGCTCGTCGGAAACTGAAACTTGCTATTTGTTCCTGTGTTGTTGCCGCATGCAACGAAGATTTATTAGCTTGTCCCGAAATCAATAGCCCTTTCTAGCACATTGTTGTAGTCATTATTTATTTTAAGCGATCAACAATATTTAATCAACGTAACATCCATTGTTGTCGATGATGTACCACCAACTCTCAGACAAGCTGTCATTGCTGGGCCGGCTGTTGAAGTATTGGGCAAGGTACGTTTCAATATGATAGCGGTCAACGAATCAGCGAGCGGAACGGTGATAGGAGCAAGATCCGGCCTATATTTTGGATGCATAATAGTTTCGATACCGAGCTGCTGAATCTTGAGACGCATCATTTTTGACTCATGAGGCCGTACCTTGTCTTGCAGGAGAAGCATTCAAGTCGCTCTTGGAGGCATTTTTCGGTATTCATCGACCGTATTTTGCATCTGCCGCCGTGCGTTCAACCCTCCTGTACGGTTGCGAAACCTGGCCCATCAAGTGGACAGACATAAAAAGAGGCTGGTGGCGTTCGATCATCGTTGCCTTTGGAGCTTGGCTCATGTCTAGTGTGAGCACCGCGTAAGCAATGGGCGTTTTCGGCTTCGTGTATTTGGTGCAAGAAAGTGAGTGAACCGCTCAGCACCGTGTTGCGCATGCCAGGCCACCCACTCCTGCGACCTGCATTGTTTGCGCACCCGTTGGTGTGAATGGAAGAAGAGGAGGGAAGGCCAAGCGATGACTTGGTCAAGAGGAATGAAAACTCTCACTTAGAAGTTGGCGTCGGTTGGTGCATCCCGCCTACCGGGCTATGGTCCGAAGGACGATGAACACTTCTGGCTGGATATAGTTGTTAATATAGCAAGGAGCCAACCACAACGCCGTCTGTGTCCTGAGTTTCTTTGTCCCGCTTATCTTCCCCCTCCAACTACGGTCTCTTGGTGCATAACATGTTACTAAGCAGTGCGTTTCCTGTTGTTTGCGCGTCGCAGGTGTAGATGGAAAAAGAGGAGGGGAGGCCAAACGGCGACTTGGTTAAGAGGAATGAAGTTCCTCACTCCGCAGTTGGCGTCGGTTGGTCTTTCCCGACACTTTTGGTTGGATACACTAGCCGACGTGGCGAAGACTCGACTTCATTGACGTTTGTGTTGTGAGTCTCTTTGTCTGTCCCCTTCCGTCTAGCTTCCCCCTCTGACAACAAGCACAAGTGTGAAATTAGTATTATGTCCCTTCTTTAATAACCTTTAAGTGTACATTGCTTAATGTCTTCCTTTTTGTTTTTACGGCATATTAGCTGAGTTGTGTTTCTCGCCCTCGGCTAACGTGTATTGATGGTGATGATGCCTGCTTTTGCATTCTATAATGTTCGGTATGTTGCTTTTTTCGTTTACCTTATCTTTATGTATTGCTGCACAATTGTTGAAGTGTGTTTCTCCCCTTCATCTAATGTATGACTATTATGATGTCTTTTGCATTTATTGGCAGTAGACAGCGGAAGTAACCGTGGAACTGTCCGGTAGCAGTTCCCAATAAATGACGCCGCAGTGATCCTACCAGACCGACAGCATCACTTTTTTTCACCTTGCAGCTCGCATTTCGGGACTTGTACTGACGTTTCATCTGCTGTGATCCACTAACGCTCTCTGCTACGATTGACATGGTGCACCCACTTTTTGTCTCCAGTAATGACATCGTTCAGCCATCAATGATTGCCTCCTCAGGTGAGCAATTTCCTGAGGGTTCAATTTGTGTGGTATAAGTTATCCGAGCTTTGTCACCGTTCCGGATTCACGCAAATGGCGAAGAATGGTGGTTTTTAGAAGGCCAAGGTGTGACGAAATTTCGAGCACACTTTGTGTCGGATCCGCCTTTACACCGTCCTGGATGCTACTGACAAATTCCGCTGGTTTGGATCCTTGGCTTTTGAGGCTTAACATTGGTAGTTCCATACTTTGAATCGATGAAACCAATACTTCACCATGCCCTAACTGGGAGCATCCTTGCCCACTGCGCCACGCATGTTTCGACAAGCCACGACCGTTTTGCGCCATTGTAGAAACTCGCACAACAGGCATCCGCGAACAGCATGTTGATCATTTGCCAATACCACAGCCATTGCTAAGATGTAGGATAAATGAACCGTGTAAGATTATTGTTCAAGTGTGTTCCCTTATACACCCATATAAAAGAATCTTCGGGTAGCTCCCGGAAAATTCTGAATTGACGTCGAGGAAACGTCATTTGATTTTGGGACAAACATAAAACTCAGAAAACATAGATTGTGAAGTGGCGCCGTCATCTCATGCTTTCTTATCATTCACAAAAACATGCAGTATTGGAAAACAAACGATGATCATAGCAAAACGTATGAGCTACCACGGTAGGCTTAGAGCCGCTGATAATTGTTTTTGAATGCACAGCGGTGGTCGTTCGCAATTGATAACTTGATAGCTTAAGGATTTGAGGCCGCTGATCTCGCATTGGGACTTTGAAGGACTCATCAGGACTGACTCAGTGACCAGTAGTCATGCATGTGTCTAGTGACTGCTGTGGTAGCTTTGTTTACTTAGTCTCCACAGCTATAGGTGAATGTATGTAGACGGTGGGACATGCACTGCTTTGTCGTGGGTATTTAAATTGACCACATTAGCATAGGTGTAGTTCGCAGTTCCGCCATGTCGTACGCCCTTTTCATTGAGGCACTTTGCGTTTCTTGGTGATCTTCATTACGTGGTCACCTTTGAAAGGTACCTAAATTAAATTGGGTTTCTTTAGGCCTGTCAGCCCACGATCTTGCCTGTGTTTCACAGTGGCGCTGAACAAACTTTAACGGATAACCATTGGAGTGCAGTTTTTTGGGTAGCAGGTTCCTTTCTGCTTTTAAGGTGTCTGAGGTGCAGATCATGTGTGCCCAATAAAATAGTGTCTGGACGAGCGAGCAAATACCGGCCTATCCAGATCGACATTCTGTAGACAGACCTTCGGATGAAAATGCTTGGCCGTCGTGTAATCAGCAATTGTTTTAATCATCGTCACGCGTCACGGTAAGGTTTGGATGCATTTTGTTACGCGTTTTGGTCGCATGTGCGATTAGCAATATGTCATCAACATAACGCTTACATAGAGTGGCCGAGCGTATGATGTAATCTATCTTTTCTTCAATCATACCCATGAATACATCTGTCAATAATGGGCCTAGTGGGCTACCTATCGTCACACCGTCAATCTGCCTCAAATCCCTAGGCTATTGAAGGCTATCGTTATCGACTGCGAACAACTACCGCTATGCATTCAAAAACAGCTGACAGTGGCTGTAAGCCTCCCCTAGCAGCCCATGTGTTTTGCTATCTATGATCACCGTTTGTTTATGTTCAAATTTTGCTTATATTTTGTGATTGATAAGAATGCACGAAATGACGGCTTCATCTCGTTAGCTACGTCTTCTGATTTCTGTTTTGAATTAAAAAGGGAAATGCTTGTTTCAAATTTCCGGACAACCTCATATTTGACATTACAAAACGGATGCTAAGAAGATAGTCAATAAGCAAAGATAAATGGATAATTTATATATCGATAGTTCGAGACACGGACCATGTGGTTATTCCGACCAAATTTTCCAATTGGATTGTTACGAACAGTTCCTGTTCAAGTTGTTCACAAGAAAAGAGGTTCCATACCGATGCTTCACTATGCCATTTCCCGGCCAACTTGTCCTCTTGGCCAACAGAAATAATCTGAGGGGGCATTCAACATGAGTCTACTTAGTTAATTTGTTGCGTGCGTACGCCAGTCACTTTTGCAGGTGTGTAGGTGTGTGTGTGTATAGCCCGTAGCCTTCAGCCAATTGGACCTCAGACGCACTAAGTCATAGGGGTGCAGGTGGGACGCTTCAGCTCCTACGCATGGAACAAATTAGTTGAGTAAATTCATGTTGAATGCCCCCTCAGATTATTTCTGTTGCCCAAGAGGACAACTTGGCGGGAAATGGTGTAGTTCTACCATTGAGGCCAGCTGAGGTGCATAGGAATTGACGTTGACAGATTTTTGGAATCATTCCGTAGTTCGTACGCTGATATTTCCGGACAGGAAAGATGATCATTTAGAAATACAGTAAACGATTCATTCATAAATACATACATCGTATGCTGCATCTAAACACAAAAATCATTTCTTCAAAATTTATTATATAGGTCAAAAAGTGTAGGTTACGTTTTGCAGAGCTTAGTGTGGCATTACCCCATAGTGTTACTCGACAGGCCAGAATGCTTTCTTGTGGCAAACATTTGCAAGGAGTAAACGTTTTACTACAGAACGTATAAGATAAACTAATTGTAAATGACACCAAATTTTATATATCTGCTAAACCACCTTCATTTGCCAACACTTCCGTGGCATTTTGTCTCAGTACCTCAATGGTTCCAACAACAGTAAACAGACTGTGAATCTCCTTACGAAAGATTTCAGGTTACTTACATTTTCTCGACTTGGACGGGAATCTGTTCCATGTCTATGCGTAAACGATCTAGTGAAAGTTTTTGCGTGCCTGAGTTCTAATCCTTCGTATATTTAATAAGCTATGACTGTCTCGAATACTACAGCCTGGCTCATCTTTGAATTTCAAGTCCAGGCTTGGGGCATGAACTCGCTTGTGTATACTATAGAATAACATCAAGTTTTATCTGCCTAAGCCATCCCGGTTATAGTTGCAAGTCTTTGTGTCGCTAGGCGTAAACGATTTGAGAAGCTGATCCCATCAGGCTCTTAGTGAACGAGCTCTGCAACTTTTCCAATTGTTGGCGATCATCTTTCATTGCATTGCTGCAAATCAATACACAATAATATAATAGGGGTCGAGTTTTCATCTTGGACAGTGTGGATATGAAATTTTTTATTACGAATGCTTTGCGAAGTAGTCTAAGGCTTCGACGCGCTTTAGCAACTGCATTTGCTGTGTGCTCCATCAAGTTCAGCGAATTAGAATATTGGAGGCCGAAGTCTTTTCTCCTACTGTTTCATCTCATTGGTTTTCCACGACTTGCGTTGTTTGAGCGCCAGGATTGTGGATGGAAAAACAAGAGGAGAGACCAAGCGATGACATGGTCAAGGGGAATGAAGGCTGTCACTTCGAACTTGCCCTCGGTTGGTGTCTCCCGACTACCGAGCTGGGCTCCGAAGGACGATGAGCACGTTTGGTTAGGTACGCTAATTGAAATGGTAAGGAGCTGACCTCAATGGCGACTCTGTCCTAATTGTCTTTGTCACTCCCCATCTCGCTTCGCTTCCACCTCCAGTCACAACTTCAGTCTTAAATCGTAATATGTGACTAAGTAGTATACTACCTGTTGGTTTCCTGTATTCTATGGTGTTTAGTTTCCCGTTTTCTCGTGTATCCTATATTTTTCATTTTGTCGCAACAGTTGTGGTATGTTTCTCACCTTCAGCCAATGTGTGATGGTCATGATGATGATGATAATGATTAATTTTCTACACAGAACCAGGGTACCTGGTGCCATTGTACAACGGGATAGTGAAGCACTTCGCTTTTCGGTCGATAATGAAATATTCCGTTTGATACACCACATTCGTGGTGTGATTAGTTTTAGTAACATCAATAGTGTAAACGAGTTCCACGTCGTTAGCAAACACGTATGCGTCAACTACGTCGTTAATGGACACCAGAAAGGCTAGTGGGTCGATAACACTGCCCTGAAATACGCCCGTTAAGCACTGGTCTAGGCTATGTATTTTGATCATTTATACCATCCACTTGGGTTCGCTTTGAAGGTTATGATTTGAACTACGATAACAATGGGTCACTGATTCCAACTGATGCGACTTTATTTATAAACTTATCGGGAGTCACACGATCCAACGTTTTGTGCATATCTAAGGAGATCCCTATTGATGATTTCCCTGTCTAAGAAGATAGTGAGTTAGTTAAGAAAGGCAAGGCGACTTGTCACACATGAGCGCTCCCTCAGAAATCCATGTGAGTTATTAAGCAGCCCACGTGTCTACAGTAAATTTCCATCTTTTGTGGCAATTAGTTTCTCCATCATTCTGTAAATTATGGAAGTATGTCTGATTGACCGGCAGTGTCCAATGTCATGCCTGGTACAACGGCGGATATTTGTCACTGTGTAGGCACTTTGCCAGGCTTCGTTAGGAGAGAAGAAAGATTGAGCAGGAGAAGATGGATATCTGACCCCCGTACTTTTAACATAATTGAAGGGAGAGCGTCAGTGCTTTCGTACTTACACTGTGGTATTGATCAAAATTGCTTTTTTTACATCTCTGAGGGGAAATTCGAGTGATGATCGGAGGTTAGTGTGGGAATGGAGAATAAGTGGCTTCGCTGTAGGACAGGTTAAAGTGCTGGTTCAGAGTTTCGGTAATGGAGATAGGGTCATGAATGATGAAGCCATTTGGCATGCTGAAAGTTATTTTATTCATCGTAGGGTTTCGACGTTTGATACGATCAGGCCACTTTGTTGTTACCCGAAAGTGCATGCCTTTTTTCTGCCACTTGCTGTGAGTAGCCTAGGGTATGGTGTTGGGCTAAGATTTGTGGCAGAACCAATAAGAGATCGTTCGCCCGTCTATACATTTCGCAAAGAACTTCCACCTTCTTGGGGGTTTTAAATGGGATGCAGTCGGCATATTTTCGATTTATAGCGCGCTTGCGCTTAATTGGCGAGACCATGTCAAGACAGGTTTTGAT